AGAAAATCTGTGTGCGTCAGAGCAAAATATTTTCCCAAGAACAAAATATTTGCACAAGAGGTGGTTTCTCCGCTGTTCAAAGATTCCCTCCTTCTCCCCCTGTGCCTGAGGTACCCCTCCTTTTCTCTACTGGCTCCTCAGCCTCTGATTTCACTTTACAGGAATCTCTCCAACCTGGTTTCCCACACGCTGCTCTTCATCTAATAGCTGACAGCGTGTTTAGAAGGCTGCAGTGAAACACACTGGCCGCTTTCAGAGGGCTCATTTGGGAGAACTAGGACTGGCCCTTCCTCTACAGTGAATTTGCTCCATGGCTGCCTGAGCTGTTCACCAGCCGCTAATTCCGCGTGGTTTTTCATCATCTCCGTGCCTGGGTTGAAGCATCCCTGATGTTGGATGATAAGTGGGGTTTGCAGTCGGGTGAGCACCCAGCAAAGGCTGGCGGGAGAGTGGCATCGCTGCGGGCTCAAAGGGCTGCGTGCGGTGGCTAGCGGGGCTGCGGCAGAGCTGGCTAGAACTCACGGTATTTCTGTAACTGCTGATTTATGTAGATTCACAATGTAAGAGAAGACCCCATGGTGCTGAACACATGAAATTTATAATACATTAAGGATTCATCTGCAAACCAGTTAAACCTGAGTATGTCGTACTTGTCTACCACTTTTGATACGCTAAATTTGCAGTCTAACCACAGTCATTTACGAGCACTGCAAATTATTCCTCTGTAAACTGTTACTGTTGAGTGAATAATTATTAAGATTGCATTAGTTCTTAAGACAATACACTCCCCACTCCTTCTTGCCTTGTGGGAGCAGGAAATAAGGAATGGGGAGTGTAATGTCTTTCCCGTGGTTCTTGCACAGCCCCAAGGCAGGGCAGGGCGACGGCTGCTGCCTGCGAGCCCCTGATCTGCCCCAGTCGGCCCCCGCCTCAGCTCTGTTCTTATCACTGGGGACAGCTTTAGCTCTGTGGTGGCCCAGGCCTGGCATCAACATGCCACCTCCAGCCTGTCTCCAGGCTGGAGAGATCTAAATCTTCCCCATTTACCGCATGACGTGGGCTCTCCATCCCTCAGCCCGGGGAGCAGCTGGATCGCTGCCTGGCCTGGATAAACGCTGCCGTCTGCTCCTCCTCCCCAGGTACCCCGCAGCGATCGCTCCCCGGTCGGTGCCTCCACCTTCCACGTAGCCCTCTCATCATCTCTGCCGGAGAGATGCTTCCCCGGCCTGCCCTCGCCCGCTGCCAGCATGGCTGGGCTGTCCCGCTCCACGCGGGCACCCTGCTGATCACCTCCAGGGAGCCGCAGCACCCCAGGGAGCCAAGCGCTGTGCGTATTTTAAACACCCACGCGTTTCTGAGTGCCCCTTGTGTTATTTCAGAATATGACAGCGTTGCTCGGATCTCTGAAATGGCTTTGCCAGCTACCCCCATAGCTGGCTCCAGGCAAAGCTGAGTGTCACGTGTAAAGCAGTAGCAGTTAACAGGTAGGAAACCGGAATATGAAACGCTCCTCTCCCGAGGCCAGAGCTGCTACGGGCTCCTTCTGAGCAGAAGCTGCTGACCTTGACCGCTGCATAGAGTAAACACTCTGTTTTCTTTGACATGTGAAGCAGATCCCTGCATATATTTTTCACAATTAGCATCCTTGAACGTATCGGAGCCCTACCGACCCACGCGCTCCCATCCACCTTCTCAAATGCAGCGAAGATCAGTGCAGGTGAACGCCCGGGTGTGTTTCTCAGGAAAAGCTGCGTTTTTAAACTCGATTAATT